TTCGTTTTGCATTCTTTCCCTCTCCTGCACAAATATCATCGTACATCGCCACTGTCGGTCGTCCGCCGCAATAGCCGGAGTTTTTCTCAACCATCGCTCATTTCACCGCTCTTTCTTTGAGAGTTCATTGCCACAAATACGATTATCAGAAAAATCTGGGGTTAAGTTTGATTGGGAATTTATATCAACAGGAGAGATTGTTGGGCTCCTAACGTTTTGGAAGAGGGGAAGGAAATGGCATGTTGATAGGCTTCTTTTCATGATTCTTATATCGTTGGGCCGATTGTAGTGATGGGAGGATCCAAGTGAAGGAGATCATGGAAGAATAGCTTACAAAGATTGATGATTGATGATAATGAAGAGGAAGATGAGGTCATGGGGGGATAGGTGGCGTTGCCGATTCTGCGTGTTCTGTCCACCTCAGAATTCATAGTGCCATCCTACATTTGGGCTGGGTCGGTATCAAGGGAAAAGATGCCAAATTCACAGGGTGGATGGTGTTTATAGGGGGAGCTAGACATAAATGCATTTGAGAAACTAATTTCTCAATAATGCATTAGTTTTTCAAAAGTACCAATTTTACCCTTATAGATGAAAAGGTACTAAAATACCCCCTAAAGTTTTATTTTTCACTTTTAATTAAAAAATAAATCTTTAGGTTAGATTCAAAAGAATAAAGTAATTTTATTCTAAAAAACGTTAAGTCTAGTGAAAATTAGAAGGGCAAATCTAGTATTTTGAATTATACTAAAAGATGCGGTAATAATAAGTTGTAAGGGTAATTTCCTAACTTTGAAGTCTTCATAACTGGAAAGCAAAGATGGAAGAGAGGTAACTACAAGTTTTTGGTGAACTATAGGGGAGATTTTTATGAAAGTAAAACCTTAGGGGAGGTTTTATAATTGTCAGAAATTTCAAGGGATGTTTTTATATTTTACCAAGAATAAAAATAAAAATAAAAATCTTGAATTTAATTATTCATGCCCAACATCATCCACTTTAATCGTTTGTTTAGGCTCAGTTTGGAAAGAGTACAAATGCAAATATGTAAAGTGCAAATACATATAAAATACAAGGTTTTGCACTCTATATATTTGTATTTGTACTCCTTCCAAATTGAGCCTTAATTCCCACAACCACATTAATTCTACTTTAAGTACATCCCATTTAATCACCTAAATTTTCTTCTTCTATATATATTACTTCCAATTAACCTACTCTTTAAATATAAATTTCCCTGCACAAAATCCTTCTTCCCCTTTAATTAACCTACCCTTTAATTCCCATATTCTCTCTTTAACCGATTTTTTCTCAAATATAAATTTTCTACCTCTTAAAAGAAGTAAATCCTGGTTTGATTTTGTTTTGGGTTTTCATTTTATTTCCAATCTTATTTTACTTCGTCTATACTGCAATTGACAAAATAAGGTTATAAGGGCAATACTAAAAACAATGAGAATGGAATGGCTTAGTCCGTGATGAATGGTCTCTTGAATCATTTAAATAGAGAAGTTACAAGAGGATAACTATGTATAGAAGATAACAATTACAGAGTTAGAGTTTATCTAGGGAATTACATGATAATGAGATAAGGTGATTAGTTATTTAGGATAACTATCCTAGATAACCATGATCAATTATCTAGGATAGCTATCAGAGATACCCATCCCAGTTACAAGTCTATCATAACTATGGTGATACTCTAACATCCACCCGCAAGCTTAGCGGTCTCTTGGAGACGGTAAGCTTGGTTGTAAGGTCATGAAACCGTGTTGAAGGCAGCGGTTTAGCAAGAATGTCTGCAATCTAATCATGACTGAGAATGTGATTGATCAGCAAAAAGTAATGAGCTTCCCAAGATCTCGAAGAGCAAAGTTGGTAGAGAGCTGAGTAAGTGCAGAAGTAGAAGAACTAGTGATCAATAAGTCATCCACATATACAAGAAGAAAAATGACATCAGTGCTAGTCCACTGCATGAATAAAGAACTATCTACTCGGGATTCCAGAAAACCAAGGTGAACCAAATGATCCCTTAATCGAGTAAACCAGGTCCGCGGGGCTTGTTTCAAACCATAAAGGGAACGTTTAAGATGACATACAAAATGCGGCCGTGTTGGATCAGCAAAACCCATAGGCTGTTTCATAAATACTTCTTCACTGAGATAACCATGAAGGAAGGCATTGCTCACATCAAGTTGTCTAAGATTCCAGCCATAGTGAACTGCGAGAGATATTATTAATCGAATAGTGGTTGGTTTAACCACTGAACTAAAAGTCTCAGCAAAGTCAATATCGGCTTGTTGAGTAAACCCTTGCATCACCAATCGCGCCTTGTATCTTTCAATGGACCCATCCGGACGTTTCTTAATCTTATAAACCCATCTATTTGCCACAATGTTCTTATGAGGAGGTGGAGGTACAAGATCCTAGGTATGATTGCGCAACAGTGCTTTGTACTCATCTTCCATGGCGAGTATCCAACAGGGATCTTTCTTGGCAATAGTGTAGCAAGAGGGTTCAACATCGAGGTCAACAGAGGCTTCCAAAGCATACCGAGGGTTTGGCTTGCGAATGCCTCTCTTGCTCCATGTCATCATGGGGTGAGCATTAGGTGGGGTCGTAGTGGAGCAAGAAGGCATATCTGATGGGGTTGATGATGATGGTAGTAATTCGGCAGAACTAACACCAGTAGATATAATAGGTGGGCTAGGGGAGGTGGAGTCGGTGGGTACGGGAATGGTTTGAGGAGAGGGGCACGGGTATGTAACGATAGGAGGGCCAACCACAATGTCGGTAGTCGATTTGGGAGGTGGAGTTGGACTGCTAGAAGTGCATGGGAAGGTATGTTCATCAAAAGCCACATTATGGGAAATATATAGATGTCCAGATGTTAAGTCCAAGCATTTGTATCATTTGTGATGTAAACTATAACCCAAAAATAAACAACGCTTCGATCGATAGTCCAACTTTGAACGATTATAGGATCTGAGATGCAAATAGCAAGCACATCCGAAAGTGCGCAACATAGTGTAATCAGGTTTAGTGCCAAAGAGTGCTAAGGGAGAATTCATGTCCAGTATTGGAGAAGAGAGCCGGTTAATTAAAAAAATTGCAGCCTCAAAGGCATCATACTGGTAATGTTTGGGCATTGAAGCCATAGCTAGGAGGGTGAGACCCATTTCAACAATATGGTGATGGCGTCGTTCTACAGCCCCATTTTCTTCATGAATATGAGGACATGAGAGACGATGAGTGATGCATGAATCAGAGAGAATGGGGAGAAGTGGTTTGTATTCTGTACCTCCGTCTGTTTGCAGAGTTTTGATAGAGGTGCTCAATAAATTCTCCACATTCTTCTTAAAAACAACAAAAATAGTGACAACCTGAATTTTAGAGGTCATAGGAAAAATCCATATATACTTGCTGTAAGCATCAACAAAAGTTAAATAATAGCAAAAACCATGTCTTGTGGGGACAATGGCTGGTCCCCAAACATCAGAAAATAAAAGTTCTAATGGATACTTTGCAACAAAAGTATTACTAGAAAATGATAAGGTATGACTCTTGCCTAGTGGGCAAGATGGACAAAAAGAGATGTACTTATTTGAAACTGGAAGCTACAATGAAGATAAGATGTGGGCAACTACTCGCTTGCCGGGATGTCCTAGCCACTGATGCCATACTGAGAACGATGCTTTCTCACCAATGAATGTCGATGGAGCTGTAGATGTGCAATTTGTCTTTAGCTGATAGAACCCTCCCTTAATCGCCCTTGGAGGAGAGTTTTCCTAGTCGCTTTGTCCTTAACAGAGAAGCCAATAGCATCAAAAATAAAAGTTGCATTATTATCCTTACAAAACTGGCTGACAGAGAGCAAGTTCTTAGATATATTAGGAATTCTGAGAATATTTTTCAAGACAATGGACCTAGAATCGGTATTCAAAATAGAAGAGCCAATATGAGAAATGTCTAGACCCGTACCATTGCCGAACAGGATATGATCTGTTCCATGATACTCATCGTGAAGAGAGAGAATCCCAAGATCTGAAGTCATATGATTGGTTGCTCCTGAATCAGGAGGTACAAGATCCCAGGTATCATTGCGCAACAACGCTTTGTACTCATCTTCCATAGCGAGTACCCAACGGAGATCTTTCTTGGCAATAGTGTAGCAAGAGTGGAGGACAAGGAAAAGATCCGTCCACATAGCCATATAAACGATGCCCTCTGAGAGCCAGTGTAGTTTGAGAGCTCCAAAGCAGGAAGTTAGTATGATCCAATTTTACTACATTCATAAAACTAGAAAGGGAGACCACCATAATAGTTCGACCATCTATCGATCCAGGCTGCATTTGTCTCTGGATGGCATGAGCAGTGGTGCTTGTTTCTGAGGCCATGACATTTGTCAAAATGGCTCTGATACCATATAAGAGCCATACAAAAAATAGTGAGAATGGAATGGTTCAGTAAGTGATGGTTGGTCTCTTGAATCATTTAAATAGAGAAATTAGAAGAGGATAACTATGTACAGAAGATAATAATTATAGAGTTAGAGTGTATCTAGTGAATTACATGATAATGAGATAAGGTGATTAGTTCTAGGATAGCTATCCTAGATAACCATGATCAGTTATCTAGGATAGCTATCAGAGATACCCATCCCAGTTACAAGTCTATCATAACTATTGAGATACTCTAACAAAGGTAAATTTTAAAATAAAAATAAATCAAAATTTACACCTAAATTCATTTACACTATCATAATTTTGCATCAGTACAAAATACCAAACACAGCCTATTCTATACCCGGTCCAATAGTTGGGTCAAACCGTATACAGCTCCCTTGAGGAGCGTTTTGTATGTTTGACAATTTGGAATGGTCAGAGAATTCTGAAACCATGAGCGGAAGCCACTTGGGCGTTGTTCTTCTGCTACGTGTTAAGAAAACAAAGCTTTTGGACAGCGGTTACAGTTATAGCGAGAGTGAGGGATCTGTCTTTGTCTCCGGATGTCTCTCTGACAGTTTTCAGTTATAAGCTCTGCAACTACAAGATGCAAACGAGTGCGTAGAGTGAGGGATTTGCCTTTGTCTCCTCTTGTCTGTCTTACAGTTTTTACAGTTTTTAGTTATAATCTGTGCGTGGCGTTTGAGGATTCACTAAACTACGCCATGGCTGGAGGCAACGGAAAGTTGAGCAAGAACAACAGTAGAAGAGGAGGCTCTGGTCGAACTCTCTTCGTTGATGGAGGCTTCTTATATAATGGGCAGAAGAATCCTTCGCTCCCACGATCTCCTCGAGGTTTGAAAACTTTGAAAGCCTTCTGGTTCTGGGCTCCATTTTGTGTTAGCCTCTGCTTGGTTTCAATTTCATTCCATGTGGACATGCAGGGAAAATCTCTAGAGAGAATGGGAAATCTGCGTCGAAGTCTAGAAAATCCGACAAGCAGAGGACTTCTGCTTCAAGGGACGGAGCTCGAAAACCGACTGGAAATGCTTTTGGGTATGAATATCCAGTTCTTGACGTTCAGGTATGTTGTTTCGTATCAAAATTCCTTCTTTCTTCAGCTATATATATTTTCTGTTTTCAATCATGAAATGGAGTTAGAGCTCACATCTGGGCTTCGTCTGGGTTGTTTATTTTCTAATTCTTTCAGGAGCTTCTGCGTTCGGAATCGGGTGTTGATGGGAATACTAGATCGCATCCCATTGTTTTACTTGATTCCATCGAGACCCAGGTTGCTGCTCATGTAGATGAAACACCTTGTGTCAAACCTTTTAATGGAGATACTACTTATGAATATGGTTCGAGTTTCGTTCTGGGGGGAAGCTGTCACAGAGGGTTGGGATTCAATGATGAGCTGGAGAAGACCCAAAATGGAATTTGGGCTTCTTCCGCCGGAGTAAAAGAAAGAGAAGGGTTTGAATTCAATTCATCGTCTGCTGAAAAGGAAAGGAAACAAGGTGAAAAGAATGAAACCTTTGTCATCGAAGGTCCAGCTTCCGAGAAGAATTTGGGTTTCCTGCCTATGGGAGACATGAGATTATACAAGGAAGATATGTCTGATGAGGATGAGGAAAGATATGCGTTTCAGGAAAATGGGAGAGATTCAGTTTACGAAGGAAGCTCGTCTTCTTCTAATCCAAGTGATACGGATGGCTCATCTGAAAGTGATGATTTGGGGGAAATTCTGTCCGATACTGGGTTTGATGAAGAGGTGGCAGAAGATTACTTGGAGAGAGTTGGAAGAAACTATGAGTTTCTGAATTCCAAGTGGTTAGTTGATCAGGCTCTGGGTGTTTCAGATATTGATAGCTCATTCAGAAGTAACAGTGATGAGAGTTCAGAAATGTTGGAAGGGCGTGCCCTGCAGAATGCGTCTCAGGAATATGGTATGAAGAAGCCAAGATCAAAGGTTTTTCCCAGCAGCCCTACAGCAGTGAATGATGGGTCACTGGTTCTGGATGATATTTTATTAGTTAAGGAACCAAAGGCAGTTTCAGGTAAGAAGAAGCAAGCTATTTGGCTTCCTCGGTCTTGGCTTTCTGAGGGCCAGAAGAATAGAAATTTCAGAAATGGTCCAGGTAAGCAAGTTCCCTTGCCTCTCACCATCTCAGGCTCTCACTTTTTCACGTTTTTCTTTGGATTGTATTGCTTTTTATGAAGAAATCAGGAAATATATTTTAACTCCAGAAGGCTTAATAAGAAAATTTTCTTTTAATTTTTAGTTCATGTAAGCTGTTGCCAAACACAAATTGTACACAATGCAGTAATGCTAATAATCTATGGAAAAAGCACAAAATGTTTACAACATAACAAGTTTGCTGACAATCTTTACAAAATGATGTAAATGATATTGACAGTGAAAGAAACAACAGAGTATATTGTAATTGCAGATGGGGTTACTAAATTGGGGATCCAATAGGAGTTTTTTGTATAGTGACTGAAGGACAGTGCATTGTCTCCCTCATGTTTGAATGGATAGAGGGTTGTCTTCTGTCTTTTTCTCTAGCCTTGTACATCTGCGCTTGTACCCCTTTTGTTTAGCTTAATACATCTGATACAACTTTTTCTCAATAAGCAGCCAAACTAACAGCCAATTACCCATTCTTTTCAATTTTAATTCATTTAAATCATTAACGTTAATAAACAGAAATCTATACAATGTAGTGAGTAATGCAGACAATATTTCAAAAAGAAAGCTGCTAATATAAGGGCCTGTTTGGGAGGGTTAAAGCTATGGTTGAATCACTTTCATTGAGCTGCTTTGCAAAAGCCACTAAAAGAAGCTTCATGGGAAGGCCCTTTTTTTTGTTGAAATACAGCTACTCTGGGCTTTCAGTGTTTTTCACCAAACATTGCTTATAAGCTGTCCAGGTAGGATCCACCTCACAAAGCCAAAGCCACTTTGTGGAAGCCTTCCCAAAGAGGCACTAAGGTTGAGGCTGGTTTTAGGGAGCCATGCAATATTGGCCCAACAAAGGCTTTTGTTCCAAAAAGTAAATGAAATGTTGTCCCAAGTAGAAGCTATTGGGATGCAACTTTATCATGGGAAAATCTTTAAGAAAATTTTATGGAAAAATATTGAGAAGACTTTTATTGGGAAAATGATTACAACTAATTTTAGTGGAAGAAGGGGACAGTGGAGTTCTATAGGTGAAATTTAAATTTTTCATAGAGAGGAAGAGGCAATGAATCTTTATTTAACACAAAAAGTGGTAGACTACTATGCCACTGGATAATAGTGGTGTTTCTAGGGAGTGATTGGGGTGAAGGGAGTTCCAGAATTTTTGACAAGATTCAAGACATAGGTGTAATCATAGAGGAGGTTGGGTCGAACTGTTAATTGTAAGATTACTTCTGCTTTTTTGAAATCTATTAATAATTAAAAGGATAAATCTATGATGCCAGAAATGTATGACACCATAAGAGCTTTGATTAATCACCCCTTGAATTTTGATGAATACCACCTGATTGGTTGCCACTTTTGTGATACTGGTTGATTGGTTATAAGTTTTTCCGGTATCATAGTCAAACCCTAATTAAAAACATATATGCTTAAAATTTATGCATGCATGCATACATACATACACATAAGTAATTTTATCCCATTTTAATCCATATCTACCATATACGTAAGATTATTTCTGCATTTTTGAAATCTATCAATAATTAAAAGGATAAATCTATGATGCCAGAAATGTATAACACCATAAGAGCTTTGATAAATCACCCCCTGAATTTTGATGAATACATCATTGGTTGCCACTTTTGTGATACCAGTTGATTGGTTATAAGTTTTGCCAGTATCATAGTCGAACCCTAATTAAAAATGTATGTGCTAGAAACTTATGCATGCATTGCATACATGCATACATATAAGTAATTTTATCCCATTTTAATCCATATCTACCATATATGTACATAATATAGTAGGGTTTACCACTTATACACTAGAAGTAAGATGATATAATTATGTTTAACTTAAGGCCCTATTCGCTTTTCGGTAAGTTACTTACCCGGGTAAAAGCATTTTACCCTTGTTTTTTTTTTCACATAAATAAAATAATGACCATTTTAGCCATAAAAGTTCTATTATCAAAAGGGGCATTTTTGTCCCATCCAAGTCTTGGCAACTTTCCCCCATATGGGAAAGATAATTTACCCACTTGGGAGATGGGTGTCACTTAAGTAATACCCAGGAAAATAAACTTTCCCTAGTCCCCACATAAGTCTAAAAAAAGAACATGGGTTTCTTGTCAATGGGATTGTGACCAACTTCCCCCCTCTCAAAATCCCAAAAATGAACGCCCCCTAAAAGTCAATTGACCCACATAAAATGGTTCTTTAGTCTACATATAAGTGTTTTCTAACTGTCGTTGACTTGGACAGTCAGATCGTTCGGCCCAAGAACCGTCCAGGCAACCAGTTTCGTTTCACCCTTAACTCGGTCTTTTGCCAAAAATCATTGATTTGGTTAGCGACCTACTGACCCGAGGGGTTGAACCACCAACCCATTTGACCCGTTCAACAGTTTTGACTGCTTTTTATTTTAATCATTAATTTTTTCTTTTTTTAAGTTGAAAACTTCAAATGGGTCATCCATTCAAACAAGATGGCCGAACCATTGACTTGGAAACCGGTGTCCAGAATGGTTCCGGTTCCAGGTGGTTTTTAAAACCTTGCTACATATGATAGAAAAAAAATAAGGTTTATAGAGAGCCTTAAATAACCTAAACAAATTTTATTTTAGTTAGAGTTCTAAAACAAGTGTCTCTTGAAGAAAAAAAATTTAAAAAAATGAAGGAATGGCAAAGTAGAGAATCTCAATTTAATTTATTCATAACTCACGGATCCCATAGATCACAAGATTCAAACAGTAATAATAAGTTTTTAAGCAAAAGGTTCAGGTGTAAGATTTGAGTCAAAACCCTTGAGATTCATGATTTGAATAGTAAATCATTTCGTAAGTTGTATTTTTTATCTCACAAGAGAGCTGGGAGTAGTTTGGTCATGGAAACATAGGGCAGTAAACAGTGTGGCTGACTCATTGGCTAGACAAGGAGTAAAAAGGGTACATATTTTTTGGGGGCCTACTCTGTAATGAGAAGTTTGCTTCTAAAGGGAAACAGGCTGGGTAGCTATGGTGCTAGCCTAATTCTTTGTAAAATTTGTAAATGTTTTTACAGATAATATATAAGTTACCTTTCAAACAAATCTTAAGTCCAAAGGTTTTGACAACTATGGCCCAGAGAGAAACTAGTTTGGGGGGCTCCTGGCCCAGGGTGAATTTATAGTATTTTAGCCTTTGGCTGTTATCCTTGTATTGATTCTCTACTCTTTTTCCATAGATTGTGTGAATTACTTATTGATTAATAAACTCTGTTGTTTGGCCAATAAAAAAGTCTTTGTGGTTTCTTGCTGTTAAATTAATAGAGAAAACAAGCAAAAATGAACATGGTTCAAGAAGATTAATAATGCCTTGAAAAGAATGAAACAGGTTTTTAAGGGGAATATGAGTAAAAGGGATAGAAACGATATACGGCCAGATGGCTACAGATCTTTTTGTTGAGTTGATGTGGAAATTAATAAGAGAATGGATTTTGGATCTGTTTGGATGCTGCAAATGTATGAATTCCCTTTCTTCTTCTGGGCTTATTGATGCTTTTCATATCAACCCTTACTGGGAGTTAAATGCTATAGAAGGGAGAAGGGGAAAATAACCAAAACTTTTTAAATGAAATTTCTTCTTCCTACTTTATTTGAGTTTTGGGCAAGCAAGGTGCACCCCTCAACTCAAGCACCAAAACATGAAAAGAACACTCATCTTTTTTATGGTAGTGGCCATCATAACTTTCCCATACAGTGTGTGAGATACTTGGTGAAGGGTTTAGCAAATAGCAGTATTAGTAGATTGGGCCAACCAATTTCCCTGATACTGTCCAGTTGTCCAAGGTCTGGGACCCATATGGGGAGGTCCATATCTTATTATATCAGAACTTCAAAACTTGATCTGATTATGAGATGACATGGCACATCCAATGTTTGAATATTATGCTTCTCAATCACTAGTTATTACAATGTCATTTGGGAGAATTTCTTGCTAGCATATTTATTGTCATTGCCTAGTCTGAGACTCTAATATATAATTTTAACATTTTTATCCAGGTGCAAAAAAGAAACATAGAAAGGAAACAATTTCTTTAAAGCGTCGGGCAAGAATGATGCACCGTGGTGTTGATCTTGAGCAAATAAATTCAGTAAGACAATATCTTAGCTTTATGATTTTTTCCCTCGGTGCAGAATGAATGTTGGCTTTGGATTTATCAGTTAGGACCGGCATAAAGTAATGTTTGCTTATTAGTTTTGATTGGTCTAGAGCCTGACTAAAAATTTAGTTTATAGCTTAAAAGTGTGGCTTGAGTTTTCATCTCATTACAGTTCTATACTTATATTTTTCATTTTGCAATCCAAAAAAACTCAGACCAAACAAGCAGCCTTAAGTCTTACGATTTTCTACTATACAGAAATGCAGTGATTATTCTAACCTTTTCTTTTAATAGTAAAGTGCGATTCTTTTTAAAATGAGAAAGAGTTATTCAAGAAAGAGTGCTATTTTTTCCAAATGTGACTCATTTGAAAATCCTCAAGGTTAATGAGCTAAAATCCATTCCAAGAGAAAATATCCAATGTCTTACACATCCTTTCTTATTTCATGTTTTATCTTCAAAAATACATCTATTCCTCTCTTTCAATATGTCCCAGCATTCTGCAAACTGGACAACACTCTAAAATATTTTTAACAACCGAATGTTTAAAATGTCAATATCAGTGGAAATGATGGTCATCCAAATATGGGAAACATGTTGGAAATGTTGTATGGAATTATTGTAAGAATTATGTACATGGTGGAAACATTGTGAATATGAAATGATAATAGAAGCAAAGACAGATCCTTTTAAATCAGTATGATGTTCCAAACTATCAAACAAAGACAATAAACTAAAGTTAAAAGGAAAATAACATGTTGCTAAGTTGTCCTATAGGCAAGGTTCAAAAAATCGTTACGTATCGGCCTGTATCGGGCCCTTCCCGATATGCCCCTACAGGGGTTGTGTCGGGTCAGGGCCTGGTTCAGAGGGTAGGCAGGACTTAAACCGGCCCCTCTGAACCAAAATCAAAAAAAAATAAGTAAAAGTTAAAAAAAAGGACCAATACTGGACGATATGCCGGTAGGGCATATCAGCCAGTATCGTTACTTTGAACCTTGCCTATAGGCTATAGACTTTAAGTGTTAAACCTACATAATAAAGTTCAAGTGAAATATAAATTCACAGAATGTGCAAATGATTCCAATAGATCAACCGATTAATCTACTACACAAACAGAAACTAAGGTATAATGTCACATCCAAAAAGAAATTTGAGCAGGTTCAACATGGTTATCATCTCTGTTAGGCTGGCGATAATACTGTTGCTCCACATTTCTGCAATATAGTTGCCCACTCATGATGTTATAATACCATCTCATATACTCACATAGCACTGATAGTCTTCACTAGGTAATGATGGCTCAAGTAATATTTCATGTTAGTACCCATGAAAATGGAAATATGACAATATGTCATCAAAATATTAGGAAACATGTTGACATTTTAATCCATATTAATACAACCATCATCTTATCATACTGAAGAGTAATTGCCTCAGGGTATTCAGCAAGAACTGATGAACTTTTGTTTGTGATGGACGGTCTTAGGTTATTAGCATCTATGGTAGTATTCCTAGAGCCTAAGGTGCAAGACAAGGGCTTCTGGGGGGAAAAGATAAAACATATTAAGAATGTACAATTTAAATTTTTGAAAGAAATAAATTTTCAAAATGCCTATTAGCTTAATTGATTAGAGCATAGTTGTTTACTATCACAAGGTTGCAACCCTGTATGTTCAAGTATTAGATAGGCTAACTGTTTAAACTCCGAACATCATAGCTACACCCCACAATATGGTAATTAATTATTTAAATACCAAATTCAAGATTAATTCGTGAAAACATAGGAATAAGCAAGGCGATGCAGACATGGGTTAAGGTAAGTCTTATCCCACAAAAAAGTCTTGCCTGTGTCCCTAATCCCTAGGTGGCCGTCTATTAGAGGATTATTATTAAGGTGGACTCACATGTTGTAATAAGATAGCTCAGGAACAGTAGCACAGATTCATAAGCCCTCAGAGGCTATACTTTTAAATATTATGATACTAATACATGGATGATCCCTAATGAGGTTTGTCTTATTCCAGGACTTAATTGTTGTATGTAAATTAACTGCATCTCTTTCATCCTACGCCAGAAACTGGTGATTGTTTGTTTTCTCAGTATTATTTTTTTGATAGGACATTATAACATGCAAATTTTGGTGGATGAATATTCCTGGAAACTAACTTGTCATGTGGTTTTTAACTTGTAGAAACTAGAACAGATGGTTCTGAATGAGGTAGATGTTTTATCATTCCAACCCATGAATTCCCATGATTGTTCTCGGGTATGTCTTCCATTCATCTCTTTGTTTTTGGAGTTACTTGTTACTTCTCTTAGTTTGGAGTGCTTTTGTAGTGTCCTTGGTTTACTCTATAAATATTTTTTTTTAATGCAGATTGTGCATGATATAATCCAAAAGGACTGTGGTTAATGCTTTTACTTGGTTATTGGACCTTTTATGATTAGGAAGCAGGTCAAGGCATCATTTACTTTTAGTCAACAAGGACCCCTAGACCTTGTTGAAGTATTGATTAGGAAAGCAAGATCAGAAAATCCATAAGAATGTCCAGATCACACCTTATTTGGCATAATCAGCTATTGGTCTTTTAATTTTAGTTTTCTTATAACCAAGACAAAAAACTGCTGTTGGCATTAATTTGACAGCATTTTCACCTGGGAAAACTTCATTATGGATTGGGTGGGTAAAATGCTCTTTATGAGTAGGTGTGTTCATTATTGTTCAGACCACCAAACCATAAATTGTAAATCAAAATATTATATACAATATATTTTATATAAATAATTAAATATAGAATATAATATATAGCATACAAATTACCATTTATGCATTCATAATTCCATATATGTTGTTGGGGCTTTCTAATTGGGTTAAGCCCAATAGAATGGGCCAAACTGTATTAGAAACCGCATCAAATCATAATAAAACGATTAAGTTTGGTTTGGTTTCCATATAAAAATGGTTGGGTTTGGTTTGAGAAATTCTTAGACCATATTTTACTGGTCTGGTCAGAGATCTTCTCCAAACTGCTCTGAAACAGACCCTGAGAGCCCCTATTATAGTTCCCTTTGCCTGCATCCCTGTTCTAGGGTTGGGGTGCTGTGTGCTTTCTCTTTTATCATGAAGTACTAAATTTGTTGTTTCTGTTAGAAAGATGCAGTGTCCCCCCTTCTAATTTTGGTTTAAGGATCATATATAGGATCCCATTTTTTGTATTTTTTTTTGTGTCTATTAAAAATGTGTTCAAAACTTATAGATTAGTGTATAACTGGTACTGAATATATTTAGGTACAACGGCTGGCATCAATTTACCACTTACAAAGTGGTTGCCAAGGTTCTGGAAAGAAGAGGTATGAAACTACTTTGTTTCTTTTTCCTTATTCTCTTTTCTTTTTTTTTCCCAATTCTTTTCCTGGTTGCATAGATGATTACTGTAGTTAGATCAATTAATTGATCAAAGGTTTATTCCACCTAATTTTGTTACTCCAATGTATTGGAAGCGGATATATCCCATGTTGTGGTAGAACAAATGCAAGACTGAAATTGATTGGTAAAGAATAGAGAAAACAAGACGAAAAACGAAAGCAGAGGAACTCAAGTTAAATACACAGATTTACATTATAGCCTACGTTTATGGGAAAAGGAGCTGAAATATGTAAACGTCAATGGAGAAATACAAAGTTGTGCAAACACTCTCACTCTCTTAGAAACCCTAAACCCCAATACATCCAAGCTCACTTTCTCAACTTGCTCTCAATCTTCTCTCACATGTCTAAGATAAATAAAAGAAAATACCCCAAACGACATAACTTAAAGCATTCAGGTTGGACCTGTAAGCTGAAATGGATCAGGTCCATACTGCCACAGGGGGCTACCCTTCCACAACAAACCAGTATGAAATTTGGCCTTCAGGTTTTTCTCCACAAATGCGAGTTGGGACATGGAGTGGGATGCAACAAGAATTCATGGATAACTATCATTAAAAGAAAAGGAAAAGGGGTAGAATTAACATAGACAACTATTGATTGAAGTGTTTTCCATATGGGCACTCTCAGCCTTGTACATAAAATTCTTTAACTGAAAGAATTTTGCAATCAAGTGAATAAAGAGGAAATCTACTTCATCACCCATGCCTTGTGAATAACATGAGGGCATGAAGAAAAAATATGATTGGTGCTCAATGTTGGTTCTGACAGTTCTTGCTCTCTCAGATTTGTCACGGTGACACGAACTGGACATACCTGCTTGCCTTCTTCAGCTGATAAACCCTGCTTAGAGAAGGTATGTTTCTTTTTTCATATATCCTGTGAGTTGCTTTCTTTGGGTTGTTGCCTAGTTCTAGTTGTCTGGCTTGTTATATAACAAGCATATGGACATGTTCCAGTGTTCAACACTGATACAAGGAGGCACAGAGTTGCTTTGAGCTCTAATTACTCCACCTTTATTTATGGTATCTTACACTTTTCTTGAATTACGGTGGACATTCACCTATTCAGATTACCAGTGCTCCTTAGCAAGGTCAATTTAACCTTTTTCCTTTTTATCAGAAAACCAAAAAATATCATTAATGTATATTATCATAGATAATATGATATGAACCTACAAAGGAGGCGTTTATTTTGTCATTTAAGACTATGAATTTCCTAGATTTTCTGTTGATGGTAACTTATGCAATCCTGTTGATGCAGGACAATCCTCAATAGGAGGGAAGTAGTGTACTCCTCCAAATTTGCAAATTCTTTCAAATGGTGGTTTAGATAAAAGAAAATTGAGGGGAAAGGACAAATAAGAAAGAGAGAAAATGAAAGAGTAATAGGAATAACAAGATATGGACAAGTCACACTTTAATCCCAAATATTGGATTAGTCTCACCAAGATGGAACCCGCCACCTAGGAATAGAATATCAGTTCTAAAGATGCAGATATAATTGCAACTTTGCAAAATTACATTTCTATGTCACTATTTATCATCATCATCATCAAAGCCTTGTCCCAATTATCCTGTTCCACCATTCTGTTATTCAATGCTATATCGGTATATCCATTGTTAAAGTAGCATGTGTGATATCACTCTTCGAGGCAGATGAGGGGTGCAACTTGGATGGGCTTGGGTCGGTCTTTTGTCAAAATTTGAATAGGCCCAACCTGAAAGCCCGAGCCCGAAGCAGTGTAAAATGCCAACCCAGGCCAACCTAAGTTGCACCCCTGACCTGTTTGACTGGGCCTTATTCATGAACACACACACCCAATCACTCACCCACTCTTATTTGTAAAGTTAATCACAAACATCAGAAGTTCTTAAAATTCTATTTCATATTTCAGATGTTAATATCTTAAGACACCTATTGTCTATCATGAATTTCAGCTGCTTACAGCCGGGAATGAGCATGGTAATTCTGCAGTCAAAACTAAGACAAAATCTCTATCTGAAGAGAGAAGCAGAACTAAAAAAGTCAAGAAGCTGAGTGGGTTGAATCCACCAGGATCAGACCAGTCTGTTCCAAGGAAGTCATCAAAGAACTCGGCCAATCACCGGTGCAACAGCAAATCGGGTGGGAGGAAGCATTCTGGCAAGCAGAGCCCCATGTATGCCAATCAGCCAGTGTTGTTCGTCTCGAGTGGCATTATGCATGCTGATGTCCAGGAGGACATGAGAACCCCTGATTCAAATAAGAACTGCAGCACTGATCCTGAAAACAGAGTGATCTCAAGCTCCTCCAAATTGGGTGCATTTGAGATGCATACAAAGGGATTTGGATCAAAGATGATGGCCAAGATGGGGTTTGTGGAAGGGGGAGGGCTAGGAAGAGATGGCCAAGGGATGGTGGAACCCCTTGAAGCTATTAAATGGCCCAAGTCACTTGGATTGGGTGTTAAATTCTCCAAAGCCATTGGGACTGCTAGATCCCAACCTGAAAGAATTGGTGCTTTTGAGAAGCACACAAAAGGGTCTGGATCAAGAATGATGGAAAGGATGGGTTTTGTGGAGGGAATGGGCTTGGGCAGAGATTCACAAGGTATTGTCACTCCATTAGTTGCAGTCAGGCTTCCAAAATCACGAGGACTGGGTGCAAATGCATAGATGTTACTTCTGAATAATCTCATTGTTTATGACTGGAATAATTCTTTAGTTCTTTGCAGTCTACATTATTTGTACATGAATATCGGCAATCCCACTATCATAATGGCAATTTACTTACCTAGCACCAGATCTTTTCATTTATCAATTAATGAGTTGCACCACAAAGGTGGGTGATGAATGCAATGGTTGTTTTGATTTGCAGGCTTGGTTCCGTAATTTCTTAACCTCTGCAACATTTGCAGGATTAGAACAGAGAATCTTAATACATACATGGTGGCATGGTTTTAGAACCGCTGTTGACTCGGACGGTGGACCGTTCGGCCTGGGAACTGTCTAGGCAACCTGTTCCATTTTACTCCAAACTCAGTTCTTGGCCAAAAACCGTTGAATTGGTTAGCAATTCATTGACCCGAGCAGTTGAACTGTTGAGCCGTTCAATGGTTTTTTAACTGTTTTTATTTTTAATTTTTGTTGTCAGAACGGGTCATCCATTTGAACCAGACGGTCGAATCATTGACCTAAAAATCGGTGGGCAGAATGGTTTCATTTCTGGGTCATTTTTTAAAACTTTGCATGGCGGTATACAGTCTGTCTTGTGGGTAGGAATGTGGAAAGAGTTTGTAGGTAAGAGATGTGAAATGCACAAAATATCACTTCATCCAATTCAAGATGGGGTAATACCGTAATAGCAACAAAGGTGGATGGGAGCATAGCAATGCTGCCAATAGGCCCAATACATCGTTTCATTGTTTTAGCATGGCATAACAACATTGTCATAGCAAAAGTGGTCAGGCTTGTGGGGAGAGGCCCAGTGAAATGATGCCATGCGAGATTGTCATAGCACAAGTGGTCAGGTTAGTGAGGAGAGGCCGAATGATACCATACCAAATTACCAATTCATTTAATTGCAATTTGGCATTTATGCCTGACTCTCATTTCAGAAAGTGCATTTTGTAATATTTATCTAGGTAAGTGCATTTATTCATATTGTTTTATTTCCTAGGTAAAGAAGACAAATGACTGTTTAGCCATAAAAATCCATTATTAAAAGGGGTAATTTTGTCCCATCAAAGTGTTGGCAAACTTCTCCAAGTGGAAAAGTTATTCACATACCAGATGAGTATCTTAAAGGGAAAATAAATTTTCCATGAACTCCACATAAATCTGAAAAGAAATAGCATCGATATCTTGGTTAATGAGAATCAACATCCCATCGACCAACTTTCCCCCCTTTCAAAATCTAAAAAAGAACGGGCCCTTAATAGATAAATAAATTACCCGTGGAGCAGAAGACTTTTGATCAATCAAAACCCTCCTTCAATTTTGATAAATGCCACTGAGAAAACCTTGGCCATTAGGTATATATTTGGCATTGATGCTGCAGATGGGTTAGAAGCACGGTTTTCTGAAAAACGGTATCTTTTTATATTTTGTTTGGAAACATTACTGCTATATAGGACATTTCCTGGAGCAATAACAACGTTTTTTGTTTGGTACCAATGCTCCAAGAAACATTTTCAGCACCGGTACCTATTATCCAGTGCCACATCATGTCCTTATCACTGCCACCTCATGTTCCTGTTGGTAGTAATGAGCTGTAGCTCCAGGAATGTCAAATTTGGCATTGCTCCAAGTCACGCCTTTCCGATTTCTAAGGCATGGGTTGGAGCACCATTTTTTCATACAGATATTTCCTAAAGCACCATTTTTTCTGATATAATGCTGATGTATCCCCGTTTTTTGGAGCAACGACATCAATGCCAAACAGACGCTAGAGGTCAACTGCTTGAGCTGTTGAGGGCATTTTCTGCATGCTGTTCAATCCATTCAGTCCTTTGTTTAAAAGAATATTGAGGCAATTACTCTTTTACCCCACACCCATGTAACCTATCACACGGAAGAAGCTTCCAAAGTTACAATAGCCAAAGTTTTATGATGGTACAAACTGCACCTAAGCACCCAAGACCCAATAATACAAAAAAGTTCCAATAGTCAGTGGACTTTTTGTCCCCATCCTTGAGGTCCCCGTAATGTGAATTATATAATACAAAAAAAAATAAATAAATAAATAAAAAGACTGCACCTTAAGCGGTTTCAGATCTGCTACTCACAAGATTATTACTCACACCTATCCACTAGACACTACTGCTGCACACCAGGAACACCTCCCCATAAATGACAAAATGGAAGTGTGTCCTATGAGCAGGTGCGGATAGTATTCTTGTGGGTAGCAAATCCAAGTGCCCTTAAGTGATGTTGATACTCTGGGCTGTAAACGGATTGGATTTAGATCAGACCCAACTACATCCGCATTCATATTCGATTATGAAATCTCTAAATATGCATCATATTTGATTACTATATTGGATTTTAGATCAGATTCAGATTTAATCTATAACCATCTTATTGTGTTTAAAATGACTAAATTTAGAAAAAAATTATTAAAAAAATAATTATTTTTAAAATATATATGTATAATAAATATAATTAAATTTATCAATTATAATATATATATATAATTTTTATTGGACTCAAATATTAATCAGATTCGATGGAGTTAAATTCACTTCTGATCCAATCCAGTTATTACTGGAATGCAAGTTCTAACACCCAAATCCAAAAGATTTGGAGTTGAACTGGGTATAAAACTTAGATTCAATTTGAACTTCAGTATTCTGTTTTTTATTAAAAAGAAAACTTCATACCCTTCTTTTGGAATATAAGGTTCGGATTCAGTAATCAGGTCAAGTGAAGGAAGAATTGGGGTCTATTTTAGGTATATTGGTTTTGAGGTGGGAATGCTAGTGACGCAGTGGTTTAGGTAGTGTTTGGATAAGCTTTCTTGAACTATTTTTGTGCTTTGATAGTAAAAAAAAAAACATATTTGAAGTTTGGTTAAGAATGCTTTTGAAAATAGATTCCTTAAAAGCAAAAGAAAATTTACTAAAAAAGACAATTATTTTGGTTGAAATATGCTTTTTACAAAACATAGTAATGCATACATGGCAAAATTTATGATGCATGGCAAAATATATGCCACTTTACTAATATTGTGAATGTGAAAATTTTGCTTATATGACACATGAAACAAAATATGCCATGTGGCAAAACTTGTAATACATGGCAAAATATATGTCACATGACAAAATTTGTAACATGAAAAAACATGGCATGTAGCAAAAAATTTGTGACATATGGCCAAATATATGCTACATGGCAAAATATGTGACATATGGCAAAGAGACATGGCAAAATATATGTCATGTTTGATTTTCATAAATATGGAAAAATAGATTTATCAAATATTAATTTAGACTTTTTTTTTTTACTTTTAAAAACTTGTTTTGAAAACAATATTTACCAAACTACAAAAACACATGTAACCAAAGACAGTCTCAGATAAAAAAATAAATAAAATAAAACACATGGTGGTCATGGAAGGTATTAAAAGAGTGATGTGAACATCAGATAATATTAGACTTCACTTGGCCTTGAAGTGTGAACTCCCTCTCACTAATTGGTTTCCCTTACTTTACGGACTCACTTGTTAGAATTCCTTCTTTTGTCAACCAGATCTCTCTGCTTTCTGTTTCTGTAATTTTTCTTTCATTAGCTCTTGTTTTTGCTTTGCTTTTGGTTCTTATAAGCCAGTGTGAACCTGTAACAAAATGCCTAGACTCAAACAAAATTAGATGGTTTCTATCAGTTTTTTTTTTCACAGAATAAGCTGGATTTAGTTAAAGGTTGAGACTGCAAAATGAGGAATACCTCATGGTGATATGTTTTGGGTGGCCCCTCATTTCAGTAAGCAAATTCAAAACAGTGTTTTTAAACTGCTGTTGACCCGGATGATTGGACCAATTCGGCCTGAGGATCATTCAGGCAACCAGTTTTATTTTACTTCAAATACAGTCCTAGATCAAAAACCGTTGAATTGATCAAAAATCTACTGATCTGAGCAGTTGAATCATAAATTCATTTAATGATTTTAGCCATTTTTTGTTTTAATTATTATATTTTTTAGTTAGAATAGATCCATTCAAACCAGACAGTCGATCTGTCAACCCAAAAATCAGTGGTCATAACGGTTTTAATTCCAAATTGGTTCTTAAAACCTTGGTTCAAAGTGTTATACAATACTTGACCAAACACCCCCTCCCCCCTTACGCATCTAGAGATAGATTTTGTCGGTGAGGAAGGGAATAATTGAAAGCAAAAGCACTGAAATGGACACGTTAGCAACATCGATCAATCACTTCTTTCATTAACATTTTTGTCTGTATATAACTTTCTATTAACAAGTTGTAGAATAAACGAACAAAAACTGAGAACATTTTTGTCTGTTCCCGGGTTGAATGATTCAACGGTTGGATCGTTTGGGTCAGTAACTAATCAACAGTTTTTTTCTAATTTTTTGGTCTGACCGTCTGATCCAAAAAACATTGGTAAAACGCACAATATGTGAAAAACAATTCATCAGATTAGGACCGGACTAAACACCAGAATGTTCAATGGATCACAGTTTTGCCAGTTAACATATCGGGCAGTTAGCCTATTCAACTTGTGAAAATTGCAGCATCCGGAAAGTTCACTGATTCCTGGTTTTCTTGGTCCAACCATTAGTAAAAAAATCTGGTCCGTGGTGTGAATCTTGCAACACAGGTCAAGAAATGTCCCATACATTAGTAAAAAAATCTTGCATCTTTTTTTCTGAAGTTTGTTGTATTTGATTTGAAGGAAAAAGTAGGGAAAGGTTGGGAAACCTTTAGAAACCCATTCCCTATTCCTGATCATTTGGGACTCGTTCTCATTTTACACCATTTCAAACTCAGGTCATTCATTCAAATTTTGGTAAAAGCCTAACCCAAGCCAGTTTGATTCCTAGCATTTATATCCTTAAAAGTATAATTGGTAAATTACACCAACACCCTTTTACCTATGCTTTTTCTTGACTTTCTTAAAAGATTTCAAAAACGCTTTAGGCTTAGTTTAGGAGGAATACGAATATAAATATATAGAGTGCAAAACCTTCTGATTTGTCTTATTTTGTATATATTTGTGTTTGTATTTCTTCCAAACTGAGCCTAAATTATAAATTTACAACGGTATTGAATT